TCCAAGTTGTCCATCTAATTTTAACCTCATTAACTCTGAGAACTGTATTTCTTTAGAATTCTCAAGGAAAAAGTTACTTTGTTTAAAGATAAACTCAGAAATTTTAAAAGATATTATAGATATTATGTGATACTCTCAATCTTAGGTTAAAAACCAGTCCCTACAGAGGAAGCTTTTACCATAATCCAATTTATAGTAAGATGTCAAGTTCAGTCAGTCTAAATAGAATAGATGAAGAAATTTGTAAATGATCCACAATGTAGTGTGTGTGACAGTACAAATAAGCCACAACATGAATAAGACCACAGTGTACAGTCTAAGTGGACTGAACTATGACCACACTCTTCGGTCCTAACCAATTACATCAGAGCCTATAGGACTAAAATTCTCTGTTTACTGAATAAATTAAATCTTAAGGAACTTACTAATGTAAATTCATATCTTGTCAATAACCCCAAGTGCTTCCTCTAATATATTTCTTTTTTAAATTTTTAATAGATCATTTTATTTGTTTCTTTGTTTTTGAGTCGGAGTCTCACTCTGTCATCCAGGCCGGAGTACACTGGTACACTCATGGCTACTGCAGCTTCAACTTGCTGTGCTCAGGCAATCCTTCCATCTTAGCCTTTCAAGTAGCTGGAACTACAGGCGTGCGCCACCAAGCCCGGCTAATTTTTTTTTTTTTATTGCAGGATGAAGTCTCACCAAGTTGCCCAGGCTGGTTTCAAATCCGTGGGCTCAGGCAATCCTCTCACGTTGGTTTTCCAAAGTGCTAGGATTATAGGCATGAGCCACTGAGCCTGGCCTCTAATATATTTCAAAATCACATTTATAGTCCACCAACTGTGCCAAGAATTGTGACATCCTAACTTCAGCATTCAAGTTGGCAAAAATAATTTCCAGTGCTTCCCAAACTAGTTGACATCAAAATCGTCTGAGGTGATTGCTAAAAACAGAATCAAAATGTGACAGATTTCTGCTCCGATTCTAACAAATCAACTAAAAATTAGCAGATTTGAGACAACCAGGGAAATTTGCTTAAGAATGGGGTATGAGATGAAGCCAAAGGACTGCTGCTCCTTTTGTTAGATATGATATCATTGTTGTCACCTAAGTATTCATAGCAGTGAAATAACACAATGTCTGGAATTTTCTTTAAGCTACTTCAGCAAAGAAAAAAGGGATTAATAAAGCAAATAAGGTAAGCTACTGATTAAGTGTTGGATCTGAAAACTGAGTACTAATGCACTATTTTCTCTACTTTTGTGTAATTTTTAAATCTCTTCATTAAAACAAAATTTTTAGAAACCCCATCCCTGACAATGTATATCAGAGTCTCCAAAGGTTCACTGAGGCTCAAAAATCTGTTCTTAACAAGTTCCCAACAAGAGTATTATACAGCCAAGCAGGCAACAGTCTTATTTGGGAACCATTAGAAATGATCTCATATGTACCCGACAAACTTCAAAATGATAGGATTCTCATTTTCCACTCAGCAAACTCAATTTTAACACAGTTCACAGGTTCTTATATTAACCATGGCATTCTGCCAAAGAAGTACAGCTCACACTCTCTAAACCCATCTGTTCTAAGAGTGCTGGGTTGGCTATCAACTTCTAATTTGCCTTTCTTAAACCTTCCTCTGTCACTCTGTCCCTGACTGAACTACAGAAGACCAGGGATGATTGTACTAACCATCTCTTTCTGCATATTCCATGTCTCCACAGAGGATACTGTGTTTTTACAAAGCCAATCACCACGATTTTCAAGAATGACATTGGTCTTTCAAGATTTTCCCTTCTCAATTTGTGCATTAAAATATCAAAGAGAGAAAAAAGAAAATAGTCAAATAGCAGTTGATAAAATGACACATGTGCCCCCCAGCACAGAGTTCATGCCAAGTACTCAGAATCTATAGTTATATTAGAGAATATTACCAGACAAGTAACATTTTTTCTCATTAAGATTTTAAAAAGTTAACTATCTTAAGTGATGTTCCAAAAAGAAAGATGTGCTCACTGATCCAATCAAAACAACTTTTTCTATAGCTGTATGTTACAATTTTCTTATTCTAAATCATCCACCAAAGTTGTCTAACTTACTTAAAGGCTCTATACATCTGCTTCTTCAAAAATATCTTGGAAAGCCATTATGAGGTAGAAGAAATATTTAAATAGACCACTTTTTTCTGCTCCACTGTAACTGAAATTACTGATCACAGAAAGTATACAACTTATGCATTTTGGTCCATCACATTTTCCTCCAGCATCATTAGTATACTATTAAGGTTCTCAGTTTATTATCAACATAATATATTTTGCTTCCAGAATGCCCAGTAAAGCTGACAATTCTCATTTAAAGTGATAAAAAAAATTTTTTTCCAAATATCTATTTAACAATCTTAGATCTGAGTTTTGGCAAGACAATTTAATGCATACAAAGTGAAAACACTACATTTCTCTCCCTTTCTTCCCCCCTCCCCTCCATCAGTCCCTCTCTCCCTCTCCCTTTTCCCCCTTTTTCCTCTCCCTTCCCCTCCTACAGATAAAACCTCAGGTTTTCACTATTTTTTTTCTCTTTCTTAAACAGCTCAATTTTTTTAAACATGCAGCTTACTTATAATCTAAACACAATTTTAAACCTGATTGTCACAAAAATATTTTAAAATGGAGATGAAATGTATAAAGGCACACATAGATTGTCAATGGTTACATCGGTTAAATCACATTTCTTTAGAAACAGAACTTCTGCTCCTGTAAACAATGTTTTTTCTCACACATTTAAAGTGAGGTTAGTGCTGATATAAAAGTATTGCTACACTCACAGTCTGAGTGTTTCCACTGTGTATGAGGTACATTTTCTCCAACCATACACTCTACTACTCTTACTCACTTGAGAGTAAGAGTCAACAGAAGCCTGCAGGCTAAAACCATTCAATACTATTTTCATCAATACGGGAATGACAGCAAGTAACATTACAAAACATCAGAGATCAAAAATGTTTCTTGCTGGAGTCCAAGATTTTAACTTATACTTCATTACATGAACATATTGTTTATATAACTTCTTTGGAACAAAATTATTCTGGAGATGAATAATTCCTTCCTGAATACTTCATCCAAGACTATTCCTTCACATTTATCTTCTGACACTTTGTTGTTTCACCCATATGATTTAGCAGTCACCAAGAATCACCTTTCCTTTGGTGGTCTGTCATAACGATCTCTTATGCTTTTTGTTAGCTGTTTGATAAATATTTTGTATATTTTTCCACAATATGTATGTACTGTCTTTTGTAGTTCCAGTTCTAAAGGTTTTAATAAGGAACGGATGTTGTCATCTTCAAAAGAACACTAGAAAAAGAAAATAAAAAGGCAAAGATATGTATAAAAATTATTTTCCAAACAACTTCAATCTGTTTAATATTAACAACCTCCATTTAAAGTCTCACAGAAACTATATGCTCAACAAATGTTTTCAATAAATTAAAGAGAACTATTATCTCTCATTGAGAGAAAATAAGGCAGTCATGGTAAATCTTTGGGGGAATCAGGGAAAGCTTTCTAGAGAAGAGTGATGAGGACAGGGCATTCCAAGTCAAGAGAAGATCATGTGCAATGGCAGAGAAGACCTAGAGACACTGGTGTAAGCAGACAACCAAAAGCTCTGAAGACAGCTGGGAAAAACTAACCAAAGCTGACAGGTAAAAAAAAAAAAGCTTTACCATGTACCCCATCTCCATTCCACCTTCCAAAAATCACCCTGGTAATAGTGTTGAGGTTAGGCTGGAAAAAATGAGGATAGAGACATGGAGTGGGAGAATTGCAACATGATAACATAGTTCAGCATATCCCAAAGAACTCTAACTGCGCAAAAGGATAAATACATTGAGAATGGCCAAATCTTCATGGGGATCCAGATCAGCACTTTAAAATTCTAAAAAGTAAGAGAAAATACATCTGTTGAATGTTGTCTGGCCCACTAGTTTCAAAATATACTTTTGACCAGAATCCTTTTTTACTATAAAACAATTACTATCCCAAGGAATATATTTTAAAAAGACTGGTAGTATTTAAGTGGAAATAATTTGTGATCTTAGTATTTCCAAACAGGTGTATTTTATGATTCAATATTTTCAACTATTTCAAATCTAGTAAGTGGCTAAACCAGAATTTTTCCCCAGCAGCCTAGCTCCAAAAGTCCACACACTTCACCACCACACAGCACTGCTTATCCAAATGTTAAACAAATTAAACTGTCTCAAGTCAGTTTCAAAAATCCTGCTGCAGGATGAAACTCAATGAAAGAGGAAAATTGGGAAAAGTGTTTTTTAACATGGCAGCCAGGTTGAAGAAGGCAAACTACAGCAAATGATATGCTGAGTAACACTTCAATGTGTACAAAAAGCATATTTGAACAATTGGTTGAGAGGCAGATAATAAAAAGAAGACCAAATCTTTTTTTTTTTACTGTACGATGACAATAAAATGAAAAGACTGTAAAGACTTTTTTTTTTTTAGTTGGAGTCTCACTCCATTGCCCAGGCTAGAGTGCAGTGGCATACTCGTGGTCACCCCAGTGTCGACCTGCTGGGCTCTGGCGATCCTTCTGCCTCAGCCTTCCAAGTAGCCAGAACCACAGGTGCGCACTACCATGGCCAGCTAATTTTTTTGTTTGTTTATTGTAGTGACGAGGTCTCGCCAAGTTGCCCAGACTGGTCTTGAACCTGTGGGCTTAGGTAATCTACTCACCTCAGCCTCCCAAAGTGCTGGGATTACAGGCTGAGTCACCGAGCCCAGCCTGTAAGGGCATTTAAGAATTAGAGAAAGACCACTGATTCTCAGGACTATGTAGTACTTGAGATTTAGTTCCTTGGTTTTCATGCGATTTAAATCCCAGTGTTTGTGGCTTTAAAAAGGTTTTTTTTTTTCCAGCACTGGAAAAAAAAAGTCCTTTGAAACAATGCCTCATGAGGTAGACCTCTTTCAGCCTACCATATGACACAGGCAATTTGACTCTTAGGGCAGATGATAAATTACCAAAATTTCCACCTATATAAACATAACCTAGAGACACTGCTTTTTCCATTCACATAATCTGAAATGCTTACAGAGTTGTGTAGTACATAACCTACATCTAGTTGTCCCTTTCCCAGAGGCCACATGTGCCCTTATCTGACTGTCGACCTATTTCTATACATATATATACTATGACTGACTTGTCCTTACCCTTACTTTCCTGCCTGGTACTCATCATGCTTACAATGCAGTTCAAATGTCAGCCCCTCTGGGAAGCCTTTCCATACACCGTTAATCATTCCCTCTTTTCATTGGAATAGTACACTAATTTTTAGGAAGGTCATTATAAGACTGTCAGTTGAAAGGTGGAAAATAGTGAGGTTATGATGACCATAATTAGGCAATTTGATACATTTTCAAAGAATGGAGCATGTGTGAAAAGTACATATAGTTCCATCCAACAAATCCTGAGTGTCAACTATATTATATACAAGGCAGTACTGTGGGAAGGAAAACATTCAAGACTCCTTCACAGAAATGGTTATGCAAATATAAGCAGGGTATAAAGTAAATCAAAGTTAACATAGAAACATCAAGAAATATAATAATTCAGAATGAAATACATGAAGTAGAAAATACCTTATAGAGCCATAAAATGTTTTGTTCCTATTTTGAATTTGCGATTTCTAAACCTAATATTTTATTGACTCAACAACTAATATTTAACAAATAAGCATGAACTGTAAAAACAAATTTGCTGGTAGATGTAGCCATGCATTTACATTTTAAAGATGGTTCACATTCTCTATAATTCATATTGTTCACTGCATTCCAAGGCTATGACTAAGTTTCTGTCTGGAACTTGCATAAATACCCTTGTCTGAATATAATTCTTTTAAAAAATTACATCTCTCACTGAATTATAGATAAGGGAAGATAAAAACACTAACCAAGAGCACCATAAAAAAACGATTAACTTCATTAAATTGAAAAATGAATAGATATATGCTGTAGTTAACACAGACCCAAAACACACACAAAAAATTCAGTATTTGAAATTCTTTTAAAAATAAGACTTTTAAAAAATCAAGTGTTATTAATCAACTTAAAACTGTTACTCAGATTTTTAAAGGTATATATTTTTATAAGCCAAAGAAAAGATCAAATACAACGAGGGAAATGTAATTTTCTAATAACAGATTTATAAAAAATATTCAAAGAAAACAAAGGAATCACATTTTTATAGGAATGCATTTCTTTTCTATCCTGCAAAGTCTCAGAACCTCAAAACTACTTTTTTTCATTTTTATCACCTTCTGACGACCCATAATAAAACATTATTAAAATACAATGTTAATTTCTGAAGGCATACAAGGCCTGCTACATTAAAATGAACATCAATACTAAATTTTACAATTCTTAAGTGAGTACAGTCACGTCATGATAAACAGATTACTTAGATACCTTATCTGTCAAGTTTATAGGACAAGAAACTTAGTAAACAATACACTAAAATAGCAGCTTACAATGCTGTTAGCATTCTGCTACCATCAAGTTGAGAAACACTGATTTCCAGGAGAAACTTCAATTTCTTATCATGGCAGATCCTCTCCTTAACATGGCACACCATCTCCACATCCATCTTCATCCCAGCCCCTGCTGACCTTCACCCCTCACTCCAAACTGAACAGTGCCGTGGATCTTTTCATAGCCTCTAAACCTTTTCTCAGGCAGTTCTTAACCCAAACTGCCCACTCACCTGGCAAACTCTTATTCATTCTTCGGGGCTCACTTCAAATACTTCCTCTATACCTACATCTTTCCTGGCCCTTCAAGGCAAAACTGACACATGCTTTCATAGTTCTAGTACAGTATCTGTCGCAGTGAGTTACAATTAAGTGTTTTTATTCTCATTGCTATCAGTGAGGCTACATTAGACCACAGATTTTAGTCACTAAATAGTGAGAACCTAGCAAATAGGGATCATCAGCTCTTCTACTGATCCCTACACAAAAACAAAATTAGCACTACTATGATTTACTGGTTTTGTTTTCACTCATATAAGCATAATCTAGCAGAACAGTTACCACATCTACATGAGAGCTGAGTAGTCACGTGTACTTCGCCCTGAGTAGCAGTGAATTAGCTAATATGGACAGTGATACAACTCATTAAGTAACAGCATAAATCCAGACCTCTCCTGGATTTATCACCAATCTTGGTGCTTTACATTCACAGAGAGCTGGTTTATGCATCCATCTAGAGATATATGAAGTATAATCCTCTTTCCATCAATATACCCTACTTACAGAAAAGTGGGCTGTAAGTAGAAGAAAAGAGAAGAGATATCTGAGGCAAGCAGACAGAAGGGGTAGTATAATTTTTCCCAAACTCATTATAATGCAAATGCTTAAAAGAGAAAGTCCCACTTTATAAAAGCAACGACAAAAAAAAGAAGAAAATTACAAAATATTCCTGGAAGACAAATGTAAAGGCAGCCCTTGTTCTTAGTTAGGATGATGTCTCAACAACATCAAAATGTCAAGTCTCTAAGTTAATATATGAAGCTAATACATTCCCAATAAAAACATCAACAAGCTTTTTTGTTAAGTAAGTAGACACTTGTGGGAAAACATACAATAGCTAGGAAAACACTGAAAAAGATAGCTATGAAGAGGGAGTAGCCCTACCAGATATTCAAACATAGCTAAAAAGCCTTTATGGTTAAAATAGTTTAGTATTAATGCATAAATGGACAGAACAATGGGAAAAAAATCCAGAGGTCACACAGAATTTTAGTATATGATAAAGTCAGTATCTCAAATCTTTTTGTTAAAGACAGACTTTTACATAAATGGTGTTAAGACTACAGGATAACCACTTGGAAAAAATCAAATAATATACATTCCTTACACAATACAAAAGAGTAAATTCCAAACAGAACAAAGGTCTGAATGTAATAAACGAAAGAGCATATGGTTGAATTCTGTTATAATCAGGTTCTATAACCTGAGTGCAGACAGGAAAAGGCTTTCTAATTCTATCCACTAAAAAAACAGGTTGAAACTCATCTTCAATAAAGTCACCACTAACAACCACTGAGGAGAGTGAACCTATCCAGTAAATGGTGCTGGGAAAACTGGCTGACCACATGCAGAAGATTAAAACAAGACCCCTACCTATCATCATACACACAAAAAAATCAACCCTAAATGGATGGAAGACCTGAACGTAAAACTTCAAACTATAAGAACCTTAGAAAATGCAGGAGACACCCTTATGAAAATTGGAACTGGCAACCAATTCCTGATCAAGTGCCCATGCCATAAGAGATAAGGAGACAAATGGAACTTCATTAAACTGAAAAGCTTCTGCAAAGCAAAAGAAACCATCAAGAGAGCGAGGAGACAGCTCACAGAATGGGAAGAAATATTTGCCAACTGTACATCTGACAAAGGCCTAACATCCAGGATCTACAAAGAACTCAAATGTGCCAAAAAGAAAAAAACAAACAGCTCTATTAAAAGTTGGGCAAAAGATATGAAGAGACACCTCTCAAAAGAAGACATACAAGCAGCCAACAGATACATGAAAAAAATGTTCAGCCTCACTAATCATCAAAGAAATGTAAATTAAAACCACACTGAGATACCACCTAACTCCAGTCAGGATGGCCATCATCAATAACACAAAAAACAACAGATGCTGGAGAGGATGTGGGGAAAAGGGAACACTTCTATACTGTTGGTGGGAGTGTAAACTATTACAACCTCTGTGGAAAACAGTTTGGCAATTCCTAAAAGATCTAAAAATTGACCTTCCACACAACCCCACAATCCCCCTTCTGGGAATATATATGGAGGAACTCAAATTACTCTATGAAAAAGATACCTGTACATACATGTTTATTGCAGCATTCTTCACAACAGTAAAAACACGGAACCAATCGTGCTGCCCATCAAAAGAGGACGGATTTTTTTAAATGTAGTATATATACACGATGGAATATTAGCCATAAAGAAGGACAACTTGGGTGGACTTAGAGTCTATAATACTGAATGATCTATCACAGAAACAAAGAACTGAGTACCACATGTTCTCATTCATAAGGAAACCCTGAACAATTATCATAATACTATAAGAGAGGGGCTGGCAGTAATGGGAAACTGCCAGGGAACAGGGACGCACACCTCATCAATAAGGGATCTCAAATTAGGTGAAATGGGGACCAAAGTGAGGCCCAAACTTTGCCTACATAATGATCATTTGTATACCTAACCCTGAATTGCACCCCACATCTTTAAAATAATAAAAAAAAAATCCAGGCTTGGAGGCTCAGCCTGTAATCCTGGGGAGGCTGAGGTAAGTGGATTGCCTGAGTCCGTGGGTTCAAGACTCACCTGGGCAACTTGGCGAGACCTCATCTCTACAATAAATAAAAAAAAAAGTAGCCGGGCGTGGTAGCGCGTACCTGTAGTTCCAGCTACTTGGAAGGCTGAGGCAGAAGGATAGCTGGAGCCCAGCAGGTCGAGGCTGCGGTGGCCGGAAGCAGCCACTGCACTCCAGTCTGGGCAACAGAGTGAGACTCCAACTCAAAACACACACACACACACACACACACACACACAAACTCAACAAGTTGATAAACTCAATAACAAAATTTTTAAAACACTTAGATGTTACCACTGACATTAAAGAGAAAATATAAAAGTATATGTTGGAAAACTTTGTGTAATTAAAAAACTTTAAAAAAAAAACAAACTGAAAGGTATAAAGTGCCAAAAACAAAGTCAAACTGGAAGACACATTTCCCTTATTCATCACACTAATATCCCTAATACATACAAATAACTTTTTTTTTTTTTTTGAGTTGGAGTCTCACTCTGTCACCCAGACTGGAGTGCAGTGGCCGCTCCCAGCCACTGCAGCCTCGCCCCACTGGGCTCCGGCAATCCTTCCGCCACAGCCTTCCAAGTAGCCGGAATTACAGGCACGCGCTACCATGCCTGGCTGATTTTTTTATTTATTGTAGAGATGAGGTCTCGCCAAGTTGCCCAGGCGGGTCTCAAACCTGCAGGCTCAGTCAATCCACTCACCTCGGCCTCCCAAAGTGTGGGATTACAGGCTGAGCCACCGAGCCTGGCCACAAAGAACTTTTAATAATTAAAGGGAGGAAAGGGAAAGAAAGACCAAAACTCCCTCATGGTAATGGCTGTACCATTCTGCAAACATGCCAAAAAAGATTGAATTACATACTGAAATGGATGAACTCTGTGTTATATAAATTATGTCTCAATAAAATTATTTTATTTATTTAATTTTTTTTTTTTGAGACATGGTCTTACTATGTTGCCCAGGTTGGTCTCAAACTCCTGAACTCAAGCAATCCTCTCACCTCGGCCTCTCAAAGTACTGGGATTACAGGCACTGTGCTCGATCATTAAAGTTATTCTTTAGAAAAAACCTATAAAAAGGTGAAGTAAAGACCAAAGGGAGGACCAAACTTTACCTGTACAATGATCGCTTGTATACCTAATCCTGAATTGTACCCCACATCTTTAAAATTTAAAGAAACCCTATAGAAGAATAGGTGGAAGACACAAAAGAAGATTCATTTTAACAAGATATAAAAATGGTTTTTAAACATATAAAAAGGTGTTCAATTTCACTCACATGATAAATGCAAATTAAAACTAGACTAAGATTCCATTTCTCACCCATCAAAATGACAAAACTTTAAAAGCTTGATAATACACTCTGTTGATGAGGATATGGGAACAGGCTGTCTCATAAATTGCTGGCAGGAATATAAACCATCCCTTGATGGGAAAATAGGCAATAACTCTAATCTAATAATCCCACTTCCAGGAATTCACCCTGAAGATTTAACTCCTTACTGTGTGTGTATTTGTGTGTGTGTGTGGCACAGCTATGCACTGTTGCATTACTTATAATTCAAATTACTGGAAAGTACCAAAATGCCCAAGTATAGAGATAGGTTTAATAAGCTCTAGTACATACATAAAATGAAGTGCCACACAGTTGTTTAAAGAAAAAAACGAGGAAGATATCTCCAGAATATTTTAAGTGAAAAAGCATAGAACAAATGAACATATACAATATGCTACCCTTTGTGTATGAAAAGGGAAAAAAACAAAACAAACATAAATACATCTGCTCATCTTACAAAAAGAAACACATTAAGGACAACATAGAAAACAACAGAATTTGTAACCTATACACACTTTCATCTAGAGGCAGGGGAGAGGAGAAAGGACTGAAAACAAATCCTAAAATCTTTTTAGTAAGTTGGTTGGGTGGAGGGGGGGTTTTAGATGTAGAGGCAATGGTATGAATGGAGCGTATCTAAAATTATTTCTAATGCATCGTAGGATTAAGCAAATGAGAAAATGAGTTGATGTTAAGAGTCAGGATTCTAACAGAAAAAAATGAGATATAGTATACATAGGGTAGAAGAAGACAAGAAAAGAACCTTAGAGGAATGGGCTGGAACTGGAGGCATCAAGTCTGAATACATGGTACCATGCACATGCACCTACACTTCTTTGTTCTGTCACCGAAAGGGCTCAGAAGCAAAGAGATCTTTGAGGAAATAAACATGCCTAACATTCAGAGTCTACTAAAGCAGTGGTCCCGAACCTTTCTGGCATCAGAGACCAGTTTCACAGAAGACAATTTTTCCATGGATTGGGAAGAAGTGTTGGATCATCAGGCATTAGATTCTCATAAGGAGTGCGCAACCTAGATTCCTTGCATGCACAGTTCGACAATAGGGTTCGTGCTCCTACGAGAATCTAATGCTGCTGCTGACCTAACAGAAGGCAGAGTTCCACTCCACAGCCGCTTACCTCTGCTGTACAGCCTGGTTCCTAACAGGCCACGACCAGTACCAATTCGCAGCCTGGGGGTTGAAGACCCTGGTACTAAAGGGAACTAGAGCTTCTTTGACAGATGACTAATTTCAGGGGTAGGGCGGAGAAAGCATAAGACAAACCTGGAATATTTTGTAGGGACAGAAAATAAGAAAGTATTCAGAAAAATGATGAGGACACATGAAAAAGGCACAAGAAGTAACCAAAGACACTCCCAATGGTCAAGTCTGGAACAAGTTTAGCATCAACATAATTAGATGGGAATAATGTATATTATAAATCATCGTGGAGAAAATAAGTATCCAAGAGTTCATGCTGATTATATATAGATCAATAAATGGGCAAAAGGGGTGGGCTCTTCCTTACAGTAGTATGCTAAGTTCCAAATGATGTATGCAGAAGAAGTGCTAGTGTTGGACAATTATTAATTTGTAATTACCTTAGTCAAGATTGGTTTAAGCAATAACTAACAATGGGTGCTAAATCCAGTAGGAAAATTTGATGAGAAGCAGAGCATTTACATGATTTTAAGAGACTACGCACAGACTGCTTATAAGAGGAAAAATAACTATGCTGTGGAGAAACTGAACATTTTGATTGGTCAAAATTGACATCACAAATGACAGGCAGATAGACAAAGGTGACTGTGACAGCAAAAGAAGAACACATCACCGTTTATATTACTTATACTGGCAATTCTGATCAGGCCTGTATATCTTGAACCTAATCATAAGGAAATATCAAACAACCCGAAATGAAGAATATTCTAATTTAAAATGGTGTGAAGGAGTTTTATTGCCCCAAAATGCCAATGTCTTAAAAGATAAAGTTTGAAAACCTGTTCCAGCAAAGGGAAGTATGAAGTAAAGACAAATGATGGCATATTAACATATCAGTATTAAATTTTATGAACTTAATATCCATACTGTAATTAATGAGAGAATGTCTTTATTCTTAGTATTTAAAAAACAAACAAAAACTTAAGTTTTCAAGTAAAAGAACTCGATATATGCAATTTAAATCATTCAGGAAAAAAACAATGTAGTGAGAGAATTAATGACAAAGCAATAAGGCAAAATGTTAGCAACTGACGAGACTTGAGTAAAGGGTTAGAAGCCCTTTGCATTATTCTTGCAAACTTACCATAAGCTTGAAAGTATTTTCAAATAAAAAGCATTATTTAAAAAAGTAAATCTTACATTTTTCAGTGCTTCATAAACAGCTCTAAATGCTGGTTGCTTGTCATCATGGTAAACACCTCTGTTCCCATGAAGAATAAAGATGCCTTCTTCTTCTGCTTCTTGGCAATTGCTTCCATATATACAATGATCCGGCCGATAATTCCATTGACACGGAAAAACAAAAAGGCTTTCTATGTGAAGAAAGAAGCAAATACTCCTAATTCCACAGAATTAACATTTTGCAAACATTTTAGTTTAATAATATAGCTCTTACAGGATAAAATTTAAGATAATGAAAAATACATTTGGCATTTAAAGCCCTTCTAACTAAATAAATATTCAAGAAAAGTTTTACTCTGCCTTCAACGCAAATAGTGATAACCATAAGACAAAAATCAAACAAGTGTAATTCTTCTTTTTTCACTAAATATTGTTTTTTTTTGCACATGCAGATAATAAAAGGAATTTTAGTAATTACCTGGATTATGAAAAAACATGATATTCAATAGATCCTGATCGCCCCATGTAATGTTTAGCTTGTATTTTTTAAGCAATGGCATAAGTATGTCTCCCCATCGTAGTCGTACGGTTGTCATATCATTCTGTTAATAAAAACATTAAAAAGATCCTCAGACTTCCAGGATTAAATGGCAGCATGATGACAGTTGTTCATTCTTCCCTTAGTAACTATTAAGAGCCAGAAGGAGAAATGCAAACTCCTATTGTTACAAAACCAAGTGACATTTGTAGCCCTAAATGTGAGGAGAGCTGTTCAGTAAAAGAAAGGAAGATAACAGATGTCTGAAGTTGCCATGTAGCAATGATAAAACTAGTAAGTCAGGAAAGGAAGGGAAAGTAAGCAATAATTGTAACTGTCCTTATCTTAAAAATGCAGATAATTTTAATACCTATGTCTGTATCTACGTCTGAGTTGTTAAGGATTAAAACTGTTAATATATAAACAAAAAGTGTTTGGAACAGTACCTGGCACACAGTAGACATTCGATTTTAGTTATTATTATTTTTACTATGATCACTATTATTCTCTTATCTTTTATAATTGGCAGTTCAAAGAAATCTTTTGAAATTGATAAAACAAGCTTTAAAAAAATACAAATAAGCTAAATACTAAAAAGCAATTTGCTTGACAAAAATCAAGTAGGAGACAGGAGAAGGTGAAGACAAAGAAGTAAAAATATATCAGTTTGTTTCTATTTGTAGCTCCCATCCAAGAACAGGATATGTCTTTCTATTTGTTTAAGTGTTCATTTGTCTTCTTAATAGCATTTAAAAAAAATTTTTTTTTTAAGTTGAAGTCTCACTCTGTCGCCCAGGCTGGAGTGCAGTAGCACATTCATGGCTACCCCCCCAGTGCTGACCTGTTGGGTTCAGGCAATCCTTCCACCTCAGCCTCCCAAGTAGCCGAAACTACAGGCATATGCTGCCACACCTGGTTTTTCTGTTTGTTTTTTTTATTGTAGACATGAGGTCTCACCAAGTTGCCCAGGCTGTTCTCAAACCCGTGGGCTCAGGCAATACTCTCACCTCAGCCTCCCAAAGTGTTGGAATTATAGGCTTGAGCCATTGCGCCCGGTCTTAAATATTTCTTTGCCAATTTCTTTCAAGTTTGTTCCCAGGTATTCTACCTTTTTTATTTTAATGGGGGGGGGGGCTTCCATTTATCTTTTAAAAGGTTGCTATTTACACATTTAAAAACTCAAGCAGGCCAGGCTCAGTGGCTTAGCCTGTAATCCCAGCACTTTGGGAGGCCAAGGCGAGTGGATTACCTGAGCCTGTGGGTTCAAGACCAGCTCGGGCAACTTGGCGAAACCTCGTCTCTACAATAAATACAAAATTAGCCAGGCATGATAGTGCGCTCCAGTAGTTCCCACTACTCAGAAGACTGAGACAGAAGGATCGCCGGAGCCCAGCAGGTCAACACTGGGGTGGCCGAGATGCCACTGAACGCCAGCCTGGGCAACGGAGTGAGACTTCAACTAAAAAAAAACAAAAAAACAAAAAAACACACTCAAGAAAAGATTTATTAGGGAAAATCACTGGGTCCAGTCTAGCAGGATGCATGCAGTCCCATAAACTTTCACCATTCCAGAGGGAAGCAAGTTAGGACTGGGCACTGCAGGCAGTACTGAAGTTTACACTCCAGAAAAAGGACCCTAGTCTTATGATGCCTCTCATACTATGAAAAGCTAAGAGGAGGCACAGATTTAACCAACCCATTTTAGATTGAAAACTTTGCTATCAGAGTAACTTGATTTTTTTCCTATTTCCCCAATAAGAAGTATAGAAATTAAGAATAAGATTTAGAAACTTTTACAGTAAGCTAATAGAATGATATTATGTCTGCTAAACATAATATTTTTCTAGTAATCTACTTTGATTTTACAAAAGTATTGGCTCATAACATATTGGAAAATGCTAGCAAAGTTGTATCCTATCATTGAGTATTGATTTATTGATTAACTGGGATGTCTGCACATCAACACTGTTTTTAGCAGGAGGTCATTCTACACTAACAGCATGGAAGTACCCCTGAGGTCAGCGAACACAGGAAATGGCTTGTTTATCCTTAGAAAGCAGCAATTTCTATATTTTAATTTTAAATGCAACCAAATTAATCATATATTCTTAATGTTTATAGTAGTTTCTAACAGATTATTTTAGGTTTTCCTGGAATACAGACATGTCAATTGCAAAAAAAAAAAAAGAAAAGAAAAAGATAAAGAAAATTTTACATCCTACCTAACTTTTTTAAACCGTTCTTTCACTTGTCTAATACAAGGCTTTATTATTCCTCTACTGCTAATAAAATACTACTTAGGCTGGGCGTAGTGGCTCATGACTGTAATCCCAGTACTTTGGGAGGAGGAGGCAAGAGGACTACCCGAGCTCAGGGGTTCTAGACCAGCCTGAGCAACATGGCGAGACCTTGTCTCTGCAATAAATCAAAAAATCTGTCGGGCATGGTGGAGCATGTCTGTGGTTCCAGCTACTTGGAAGGCTAAGGCAGAAGGATCATCTGAGCCCAGCAGGTCAAGGCTGTAGTGGCCGTGGGCATGCCACTGCACTCCAGCCTGGGCAACAGAGTGAGACCCCAACTCAAAACAAACAAACAAAAAAACCCAAAAAAATCACTACTTAGTAGTTACGATAATAGACATCTTTATTTTAACTGTAAAGCCTTCTGAACTGAAATAAACATGTTATACTAATAATCTATCAATTTATATTTTATAATTTTTTTTAAAAGATACTGAATTTTATCAGATGCCTTTTCAGTCTATATGAAGATGTTGATACCTTGTTATTTAAAAACACAAAATAAAATACCTAAGAAAACAACTGAAAGAGGGCTCAGAAAGTAAGTACATACTTGGTACAATGTTCCCTATCTGGGGAATGGGCCACCTGAGACCTGATCTCCACCACTACACAGTATTCCCATGTAACAAATATGCATGTTTATCTTCTGAATCTAAAATTTTTAAAAAATAAATTAAATAAAAAATATAAAAACACAAAGTAAAATACCGAAAGGAACAGCTGAGTTGAAAGAGGGCTCTGGATGAGAATCTGAGGTAAGAAGGAATGAAACCAAACACTATGCCTTTTAGACCTATATGACTGTTTTAAACTATCCAGAGTAAAAACCAGTATTCCACAGAGTGCAGTGCACAGTGTGCCAACTTGATTTTTTCTAATTCCCTAATAAGATAAGTACAGAAATTAAGAATAAGGTTTAGAAACTTTTATAGCAAGATAATAATGTTATGTCTGCTTAATATAATATTTTTCTAGTAGCCTACACATATTTTACAAAAGTATTGGCTCATGACATATTGGAAACTTTAAAAAATTGATTATTCTCCATAAACAGTGTGAGAAGCATTATTATAAGCTATTCTATGATCTAAAAATAAGCTCAATGAGGGTATAAACAATCTATCCTTTAAAAAAGAGAAAGCCAGAATTCATGGAAAACCCACATATTTAAACTACATTGATCTGCTACAATTGTGTTATCCTCGTGTGAAATTTCTTAAAATAAACACAGTAACTATAAAATAATCATAATTTATTTAAATCTGGAAAATGAAATAAGACTCACCTAAGGAAATAAAACAATACGTTATTGAAAGGATAACTCTTTGAAATGGTCATTCAGCATGTTAACTAATATTTTTAGGATCTGAAAAGGAAAGAGTGAATTGCACAAGGACAAAGACCAGTAACACACTTGACAGAACTGGCGGGGTCCTTGTACAATCCCATGTTCAAGTCTCACTTGATCCTATCTACTCAAATATATATAAAGACGTGTATATGTTTAAAGTTTAAAAACCATTATAAATCAAATATGTACATATTTGATTATATATAAGAAATATATCTATTCAAAGAAAAGCAATGAGAGATAAAATTAGAGTTCAAAAGTAAAAAAAAATCCTTTATTACCTAAATAAAAACAAGAAAAATAACACCAATACTACTTTTCCAATGATACAACCCAGACTATCTAAGACAACCAATGAAAAACTATGAGAAATTAGTTTAATAAAGAAATATTATATGTAAAAGGAGTTCAAGTCAATAAGAAGCAGAAAAACAACCAAGAAATGAGCAAATGATGTGGACAAATAGCCATTTGCAAAAGAAGAAATAGATACAGTTAAAATTTGTATGAAGATTTTTAGTTGCACTGGTAGTATAGTCAGAAAAATAAAATATATGTGTGTGTGTAAAATGTATTTTTCAGCCATACAACTATATATCCATACCAGGTACACACAAACAATAAAACCAAATCATCCATTCTCCACATCACATGCACATTAAAAATGTGATTTTTGTGTACCGACATAGAAATTAGTCAATTATGTAACTACTAAATGAAAAAAGCAAGCTGAAGATGTATAAAAATAAGTATAAGTGCTAAAGTACACATATACTCATTTCAAAATACATTTTTTTAAAGGTCCAAGGAGGCCAGACTCAGTGGCTCAGCCTATAATTCCAGCACTTTGGGAGGCTGAGGCAAGCGAATTGCCTTAGCCCGTGGGTTCAAGACCAGCCTGGGCAACTTAGCAAGACCTCATCTCTACAATAAATAAATTATCCGGCCATGGTAGCATGCGCCTGTAGAGATAACGTCTCGTCATGTTGCCCACGCTGGTCTCAGATCCCTGGTCTCAGGCAATCGTATTGCCTCTGCTTCTCAAAGTGCTGGGATTATGGGCATGAGCCACTGTGCTCAGTCTATTTTTTTGAATTTTCATAAGCATAATTGAGTTTTGCAATTTTTAAAACAGAAAAATGTAGTTCTAAATTACTAATCTTACAAACCTATGACCAAAATGCATGTGTTATACTAAGAACAATTTGTTTCAATTTTAGCAGTATGTACACTTTTGAAAACGGATGAATTTATTATCATTTTCAGACTATCCTATCTATAAGTATAAAACTGGCAGGTGGCTACTCACATTATGCTACTACAATGCCAGAACCTGGGAATTCATTAATTCCCAAAGATTAATTATTTCACTTTAAAAAGTTCTACTTCTTTTTGCAAGATGTTCATTGATATTATTCTGCTCACAAACTATACATTAACATAATAAAAGTCCTACATCACATGCATCTTAAAAATATGTAAAAACAATATATCCACCTTATACAAAGTGTTCTATTTCCCAGTATGTAATTCATTAATGGTCTACTTTCTAAAACCATCTGACTGTCCTTTGTCAGTAATTACCTATTGAGTTGCTATTTTAAGCCAGTGCCATGCAAAATATTCTGAACATAAAGGTGTACAGAAGATACATCTTGCCCTAAGTAGAGAAAACAGACAAAAAATGCTTAACAAAGTAATACAGAAAAGGACATGAAAAGTAAACAGACAAGGATATGATTCCCAAGATGCCTAATTTACATTCCTTGGTTTTTCTCTAATAAGTAGATAAAGGTTAAGAAATGCCCTAATCAGATTAGGTGTGGTGACTCATGCCTGTAATCCCAGCACTTTGGAAGGAATCAGTTTTTTTAAAAGAGAGAAAAGAAATGCCCTAATCAGGACTCAACACTGCAGATATGATCACAAAGCAACAGCTTAATCAATGCTACTCATTGCCTATCAAACATTATGCACAAGAAAGAACAAAAAAGTAAAATTTTTACTATTTTTAACTTTTCAATATATGTAACTATAACACATCAGGTTGGAACTGAACAGTCATGTATGATAGGAACTGGGTGACAGAAAAGCAAATGAAGAATTTAAAATACAACCTTAATCCTGAATAGGTAGTCTTGTGGCTTTTCGTGTGTTAAGAGCCACACAGTAACATTCAAGGATCTGTATGAAACAGTTTAGATGGTGATTACAAGCAGTTCAGTTATACTGCTAAAGACCTAAAATTTAAGATCTGTGCCAGATATTGTAAAATTGGTAAGAAAGGCCAAGACAATGCTTGCTACAGATACTGACCAAAAAAAAAAATTAAAATATATAACAAAAGGAATTTAAAAATCAATACACTTTGTAGAACCATCTCAACAACCATAAATATATTATTTGATTATGAAGCAAATCTGAGTATGTTCCCACAAAGCAAGAATAGGGTTGTTTGTAACACAGAGATAGTAGGTGTTAAATAAACTCTATCTACTGAATTAATAATATATAACCAAGCCTCTCATATTTTTTTCATTAATATGCAGAAGAAAAAAACTTTGAAAAGTTGAGAAATTATTTCAATCCCCATATCTATATTTCTAGCTGACTTAGAACATGCCACACATACACACAACAAACACACACACACACACACACACACACACACACACACACACACAAAGATGAAGGGAAGAAACTATTAAATTATTTAAGAATGACATTTAAATAAATAAAAGATATATTAAAAAGTAATGGATTGGCCAGGAGTGATGGCTCCAGTCTATAATCCCAGCACTTTGGGAGGCCAAGGTGAGGGGATTGCCTGAGCACACGGGTTTGAGAACAATAGCCTGGGCAACTTGGTGAGACCTCATCTCTACAATAAATCAATAAAATTAGCCAGGCATGGTAGCATATGCCTGTAGTTCCAGCTACTTGGAAGGCTGAAGCAGAAGGATCACCTGAGCCCAGCAGGTCGATGCTGGGGTGGCCATAAAGTGTGCCACTGCACTCCAGCCTGGGCGACGGAGTGAGACTCAAACTCAAACTCAAAAAAAAAAAAAAAAAGAAAGAAAAAGAAAAGTAGAAAAAAGAATTTAAACTACATTGCTGTATTTAAAATTTTTTTAGTCAAATAGGGTTACATTAAATTATTTCCACAGTTGTTTGCAACACTACTATTAATTCAATACATTTATATTAATGTCTATAAATTCTATAAATTTCAAATATAGCTATTGAGAAGTCACATTATTTCTTAGGAGATAATCTTACAGCACCATCTTCTGGTATAATATCATTGTGCATAGTCTAACAATCAGAAAATAAAAATCATGCTATTATACTGATTGTATTTGTAAATTTTTATGGTACATATTTAAAAATTCAAGATATATAACACACTAAGTAACCAAAGAAAATATGTTCTCTGTTAAGCAAGAACAGAGGTTACCTTGCACTGGTCTCATTAATGCATTCAATTGTGGGAGACAAAACTGAATTGAAATCAGGATTTTGGAAAGGTCCAGTAAATGGAAGACTAAAAGCCTAAGTCTACCAGATTAACAGAATATAAGAGTGATGGGTCCTAGATGTCCGACTTCTAAGATGGAAGTATTAGCACATACCGAAAATAAGTGGAATCAGTTCTAAATGAGGTAAAGTTATAAATTACACTTGTAGAAAGGATAAATTAATTCTATTCCACCAGATGCCATAAGAAAAACATATGACAAATATGTACACATACAAACACTTATACTCATATCATAAAAGATATAATATCCTTTAATGTTTTAGTCCTAACTAGATACAAAGGAATAAACAGTAAGTCTACATCCCCGGAGGGAAAGTCAACAGTGGGTATTTGCCCAGAAGTCACTGTTTTTAATATTAACTTAAGTAAGTCCATTTACTGTCTCTACTTTTCAGCTGAGAGAATTGACATTTGAAACTAAATGGCTAGTAGTTAAGAAGCGCACAGATGGCAAAGCTATACATAAAGCCAATTTGACTCTAGGGCCCACAATCTGCAGCAACTTGCAATCTACCATATGCGACTAATCCACATGAAACTGGTAAACAGTAGAATATACTGATGCAATTACAACATACAATCAGAATTTAAACAATCTGATTCATCTACTGACCCCACAATTTGGGGGATTAGAAACATGCATGGATTTTTAAAGTTAACTTACAATACCACCATAATAGCCAAATTAACATTTAGATCAGCCACTGTTCTAACTCATTTACTCCCCGCAAAAGCCCTTAAACACTGGTATTGCTATCATTCCCACTTTATAGACGAGGGAAATGAAGCCTAGAAATGTTCAAGTCTTACTCAAGGTCACTGAGTTACTAAGTGAGGGTTTGGGCCAGACCAACAGGCTGCAGAATCTGTGCTCTTAACCACAACTCTGTATTGTACCTAAGGTGCATCATACCTTAGATTCAAGTATTCTATGGCTATACAACTACAAAATAATAACTAATCCTGGAATGACATTCTAGGGAGATGATGTTCACTATTTAGTACACTGTATTTTCTTTGTTATAATGTCATCTGGTTTGACATATTGTAATGTTCTTTTGAACAGAATACATGAACACACTTTTCTTCAATTATCCAAGATAAATATAAAACTTCAGAAGCGTTCAATCTAGTTTATAATAAAACTAAATTGGAAAGCAAAAAATTTACAGGGAAAAAGGAGAAATATTAACCAACTATCTGTATCAGTGACTTACCCTGAAATATTTCCTTCTCATTCGAGTCATGTTCATCAACATAACTCCAGAGTTTACTCCAGTTTTTCCATAGTATGGATGTCTGGCAAAGCGATTATACCATCCTATTCGAGGTTCCTCATGTTCTGGTGCCATTGCAGCAATTTGTGTGGAATTAAATTTCTTTAGTAAAGACCAAATGTCATCAACAGGTCGTAAAAAAAGGATATCAGTGTCAACATACAATAGTGAGTCAACTTCTTTCAGGATTATCTATGAGGAGAGATATTTAAATCATTAACTATAATTCTACTCATAAAAAACATAACAGAACCTTTATTACATAAGATACTCATATACCTAAGATACTCATATACCTAAGAGATAAGCTAATTTACATTTTAAAGTATAAGATACTCATATACCTAACAGATAAGCTAATTTACATTTTAAACATAAGATACTCATATACCTAAGAGATAAGCTAATTTACATTTTAAAGTAATTTTCCCTAAATCTATCATTTTTGACAACATAAAGATACTACGATAATCTTTACATTAACTTTTTTTTTTAAGTTGGGGGTCTTATTCTGTAATCTAGGCTGGAGAGTAGTGGCAAGATCATGGCTCACTGTAGCCTTGGTCTCCTGAGCTCAGGCGATCCTTCTACCTCAGCCTCCTGAGTAGCTGAGACTGCAGGCACATCTGACAGATCTTGAACTCCTGGGCTCAAACAGTCCTCCTGCCTTGGCCTCTCAAAGTACTGGGATTACAAATGAGCCACCACACCCAGCCCTATATTAACTTTTACAGAAGAAAAGCTATAAAAACAAACTAAAACAAAAAACTCAATACTAACAACTGAGAGACTAATAGAATAAATATCTTTGTAGGTCAGGAGGGAAATGTTTTTCACAATGGAAAATAACATCAACTGAGGTAAATGTATAGCTTGAATCCTAATTTCCTGAGACAAATACAGAAATAAACCAAACAATACTAATAGAGACCTTCTAAACTTGTCCCTCGGCCTGTAACACGGGCACTTCTATATCACTCTAGTATCAACTTATAAGTGGTAAAACGAAACTGGAATCCAGGCAATTCAGATTCAAAGTCCGTGCTCTTATTTCTATGTTTATCGTCTCCCAACAAATCAAAGGAAATATATACCTAGCAAGGGTGAAGACAACACTTGTCTTGGAAAAAAGATTGGCTATGTTGCACTTTCTGAGAGATGTTACATCTCCAACATGTGTCTTCCATGTGGATTATTTTTATTTTTTTGAGTTGGAGTCTTACACTGTCACCCAGGCTGGAGTACAGTAGCGCACTCACAGCCACCACAGCCTTGACCTGCTGGGGTCAGGTGATTCTCTTGTCTCAGTCTTCCAAGTAGCTAGAACTACAGGCGTATGCCACCATGCCTGGCTAATTTTTTTTTATTTATTGTAGACACAAGGTCTCATTGAGTCGCCCAGGCAGGTCTCGAACCCCTGGGCTCAGGCAATCCTCTCTCCTCAGCCTCCCAAAGTGTTGAGATTACAGGCTTGAGTCACCACGCCCAGTCCACATGGATTTTTTAAAGGTAATTTTTTATTTCTGCATTACTCATGAACTTTAGAATCCAACTCCTGTAAATTTAAATTTACTGCCTTATCCTGGTCTATTAGTAAGATTCAAAGAATAGGTTAACCTAAACCTTTTTAGTTAAGAATGCATATAATGAGAAGAGCGTGATCCTCATTTTGCTGTTTTTCAAAGCTACTACCTCCTGCAAATGAGCAGCTACTGGGCTGAAATCACCTCATTCCTCCTTGAGTTCACTATCAGCTAGTTTAACATGAAGCTAGAGGAAAAAATCAGATGGTTGACTGCGGATCCTGAGTAGGGAAAGTTCATTTGCTCAAAGACCTCAATTAATAGGATATTTGTATGTGTGTGTGTCTCTCTCTTTTGGGAAGGGGGATGAGGAGAATTTTGTTTATTTTAACTTGGGATCTCACTGTCTCCCAGAGGCTGGAGTACAGCGGCACAATCATGACTCGCTGCATCCCTAACCTCCTGGACTCAAGCAATCCTTCCACCTCAGCCTCCTGAGTAGCTCAGACTATAGGCACACACTACTACATCCAGCTAATTTTCAAAAAAAATATTTTGTAGATACAAGATCTCACTATGTTGCCCAGGCTGATCTCGAACTCCTGGGCTAAAGCAGTTCTTCCACCTCGGCTTTCCAAAGTGCTGGGATTACAGGCATGAGTCACCGCACCTGGCCAAGAATTGTTTTTAATATCAAAATTCTGCATCTAGCCAGGCTCGGTGGCTCAGCCTGTAATCCCGCGCCTTTGGGAGGCTGAGGTGAGTGGATTGCTTGAGCCCGCGGGTTCGAGACCCGCCTGGGCAG